TGTTCTTTTATTATTCAATTTTAGAGAATTTTGCATTACTTATTTCAGATTTCAATACTTGTTTAGATTGAATTTTTCATTTCCGAAAAAGCCCAACTCACTGATTCAGGCGAAGATGTATGTATTATTTTAAAGATTTCGAATGATTTTCTAAGACAACATATTTTAATATAGGTTGAACTAGATATTGATCGATTCGATGATATCTTTCATGAATATGATGACAATATAGATGAAGATGAAGATAAAAAAATGCAATAAAGCACAATATTCAATTGAAAATTGGCACAAGAAGCAATAAAAATCTAACCCAATTATTAGTCAAGAAGAAGCCACCAAAAGCAATGTTAATGAATGAGGTACCATAAGATGCAACAACTAGAACAACAATGATTAGTAGACAAAATTTATTCAATACCATTGTGCAAACATATACATCTAAAACCTTAACAAGACACCAAATAGACATTTCATTTACTCTGACTATTGCTCTTTTGTATAGTTCACATTTTTATTCGTAACCTTTCGTTCTTACACAAAGAATCATGTTCAGCATAGAAAATTATCATTTCTTTATTATTCTAGATATACACTAGTCTATTTACCTTCGTTGAACAAAACTATTTTACCTACGAGCAAAGATCAATTCATTTAATGTGAGTATCATAATCAAAAATACGTTTAGTGATCGAATATTTTTTTGTTTCTTTAAGAATGAGTACGGAAAACAGCCAACCGGGTCATATTCCGTCAGAACTATTGAATACACTCAATGTAAGCCAATCTAATATTGATCAACTATTATCGGTCGGAATCGTAACTACAAGTCAGCTATCATTGACACAATTCAACTCGACAAATATGATTTCAGATATTCAACAACACGATCATGAAACCGGAACACAGGATGCGGGTCAAGAACAACGACATCAACAAACACAAGCGCGACGACAACCACAACAACAAGAAGAACGCCAACGTTTACGACAACAACAGCAACAAGAACAGTGCGAACGGCAACGTCAACGTCAAGAAAGAAACCAACGACGATACGAGCAATGGCAAGAACGCGTAGCTCAACGACAACAGGAACGATATCGACAAGAACGAGAACAACACGAGCACTATGCATACTTGCAGCGACGCTCGCCTAACTTTGACGAACTG